AGTTGGCTTCAGGAGTTTACGAGTGTGACAGACCCAACTTCCTTCACCTTGACAGCACCTCTGCAAAATTAAGAGTTAGAATGGTTTCAATTTAAAGTTGTCCCAAAATCGCTTGCCGATGCCCATCGTTGAGGCAGGTGCTGGGGCGGTCCAGGAGGCTCCAGTGCTCTCCTTCTGGTTCAATCTGCCAAGCGATGGCCTTCCTGTTCTTCGGGATTGGCTTCTGACGGCGGAGGGGGTGTACTTCTCTGGGTATGAATCCTGGAGGGAGCCTTTCGAAACCGAAAGCAAGACCGGTGATCTTTTGGATTTGGATGGAAAGCCCCTTTCCTTTGCCTCTCTCTTGGCTACAAAAGGATGCGGGCGCATGAGTGTAATCATGTTTGGCCTGATCTTCACCTACCTGCGCTTGAAAGACACAATGGAACCTGCTCAAAAGGAAGACTTTGCCAGGCCGGGCAAAAGAAAATGAACTTTGTAGCAGTGGATATTTCACTCATTAGTTATATGGGTCGCCCTATGCCTTCTGAAAACCTGGAACTGCTGGGGGTGGGGGTTTGGCGGGACCGTCGTTCTCAGGGCACCCCCCCAACAACTTGTGGAAGGTGGCAAAGTTAATTTACCTTCAGGCTAGCTTTGTTTCTAAAGGCGTTTCCTTTTTGCTGGGGGTTATTTCTTCTTGGGAGCCGCGGATTGTGTAAGTGCAGGAGAATTTCCTTTGAGGGAGCCGGGGGGCGGGGGTGATGGTTCTCAGAGACGGTCGCCCTTTTGGGGTTCTGGTTTGAAGGAAGAAGTGGGTGACCCATATTAGGTAACCGAAGCTTTTTCAGCAAAATATTGAGGTTGATTTTTTTGGTGCTGCGAAAGGGGGGTGGTGGTTTGGCGAAACCGTCGTCCCCGGGCCCCGATCAAAACCATCGCCCCCGCCCCCACTACTAACCCCCCACCCCCACCCCCCTCCCCCGACCCCCCTCCCCCTTTTGGAGACTTCTGAGCCAGGTTCTTGAAGACTGTGAATCTGGTGAAGCTTGTCTTGATGCAACATGACCACCATTCTCACAGCGAATGGCGGAGATTGCAAACTCATGAGCAACAAGCAGAGCGTCAACGAAAAAACCTTCTTCAGAAATGCCTGGTTTTCGCCCGGAGAGCCAAAGAGAAAACACTTGAGGACCTGCGTTAGCCGAAGGCTAGGGACTAACCTTTTGGGGCAAGAAGCAACATGTCACATGGTCCGTTGGTTTTGAACCTGCCTGACATCGAGAACCCTTATGTTTCGTTTGGTTAATTCATTGGCACTTTCTATTTCAATTCGCCTTGTATTTGTTCAAAGCCTTTGGAGGACCCGAACCTTTATGGAGGAGGCCAAGCCGGACTCCGAAAAGCTTTCCTTGCCGGGGTTGATGAGTTCAATTCGTATGGCATCGCCGCGATGAGTAGCCGTCACCAAATCGATCAGACAACTGCTTCTTTGCTCTATGGGTTTCATGTTCCTTGGCTGTCAAAACCACAACCCTTTCCATACAAAGAGCCATCCAGACCTGGCCTTGCCTGCGCTTGAACTCCCAGGTCGGTGTCGCGCCCAAAGCCTGGACCATGCTGGAGCGGCACTTGCACCAGCACAAGTTCGAAATGTCAGGCCGGTGGGGTAGGGGGGTAAAGGGTTATCCTTGACCAATTTAAAGGGTGTTATCCCTGACCAATTTGTTTGGGTGCCTGCCAGCCTTCTCCCGGGACACCTTGCTGGAATCCCGATGGCTTCTTCAAGGAGCAGGCAAAGCCAACTCGGCAACATGGAACAGTATACTGACGATGGATGAAGGAAAGCAAGTTTTGTTCATGTGCAGGATCTTGCTGCTACATGAACTGACTTCGAAAAGGGCGGGCAAAAGCTGCTCCGTTCGTTTGAGCCAACAAGATTGGAACGAAGAGGCTGATAGGATGTGTTTGGTTGGACACATCATCACCGCCATGCTTGATGCCACCCAGCCGAGCGGCGATCCCACCTTTGATCGCAAAGTTGTCGACACCGTCGCCAGAAGGGCCGTTGAAGGGCGCGCCTGGCGCGTTTGCCGGTAGTGTTTTTTGGTTCCCCTCAGCAACAGCGCCCACACATCCAAACCCTTTTTTGGGTAACCTTGTTTGTCAGAGTGGTGAAATTGCGAAGCATTTCCTGCCCTGCCCTAAGGGATTTTCATGCTGAGATCAACGATCTTCTAGCCATCCGGGATCCAAAACTCAACCCTGAGCACACCCAGATATGGACCGAGAACATGCCCATTGTGAAGCAACAGGATGATGCAATTTGCAAGGTGGACGGCAAGTTGAAGGAGCTTTCTTCTGATGCGCGGAAAGCAGCATGGACAGCCGACACCATGAAACTCGCAAGGGATTGCGCTGCTCTTGGCCAACTCTACCAACGTGACTTGAAGTCGCAAAGGTCCCAGCGAATTCAAAAGGTCCTGCACATGAAGAATCAAAACACGATCGGGGCTTCCGTTGTCAGCAACTTCATGTCCAGCAGTGTGGCCCACCGATATGGAAAAGCGGGTGAGCTAGAAGCGGCAGTCGGCAAGGCAAGTTTCCGTGCTGATGATTGGAAATCGTTAAAACTAGTTCACGTTGACAAAAACTACTGTTGGTTCAAAAAAAATAATGTTGTTGGCTCCTTGGTTTGGAAAGTAACCCCTGACAGTTCATGGATGCTTGGGAATCCACCGACCCGGCTCTTGTGGTTTGGGTCGACTTCACCAAGTCTGGCCGGCTGTCAAACGCAGACCTCAACCTCAGCACGGACATCATTTGCCAGGTGTTGCAGTCCCAGCCTCTGCGATCGTGCGCCATCGCATTCTGCCCACACCTGGTTTCCGAAAAAGTGGCCAGCGGGCAGCGAGGAGAGATTAGGAACCTCGGCCTTTCAACAGAAACCTTCGTCACTTTCACCCTCGAAACTTGAACTTATGGGATTGAGCTTGTGGAAGCAATTGTAACAAGCCCCAAAAGGCTATCAGGGGACCACGTTTGCTGTTCAAAGTTCAAGTAGCCAGTAGGGTAATTCATGGCAACCGAAATGAGGCGAATCGAGGACAAGATGGATGCCCGGAACCTGCACACGGAGCTCATCATCATTCGCATGAGCAACCCACCGGCATCCAAAAAGGTACCATTGCAGTTCTACGCTTGGCTGATTCGGGATTTCCAAACAAAGGACGAGAACGTGTTTGCAGATTGCCAGCTCTTGGCTGACAAGCCGCTCAGCGCAAAATGAGAATACGTTGCTATTGTAACCATCTGAGATAAAATCCCCTATAGATCAATTCTATGTTGAAACCAATCGTTATCTAGTAACCAGTCAGGGGATGCCGGGATATTCTTCCATGGCAGCCGGAGTCCAGCTACATTGTGCCCACTTCAGAGAAAGACGGGTTGCCACACGCATCGGAGGGCAACAGGCTCGGAAACCTCATTGACCTTGTTGTCTTATTGTTTTGCTAACATGTACTTTCCAGCAGCAGGAGCTTATCGGATGTGCAAGAGGCTGCCCAACTACTTGCCGGCAAGAGCGTGCCTGCAGCCATTCTCGAAGCGTTGCTGTCGAAAGCCCAAATTCCCGGGAATGTGGTGGCCCTCGTCAACACGACCCCGTACGACACATGGTTGGAGAAGACTTGCATGAAGTGGGACGCTGACCACCCAGGGCAAAAGATCAAATTGAAGACGCTCTCCATTTCGAAGAGCCAGACAATCGTTGAGTACTGTCAGAAGGCTATTGCCTTGCAGCTTCTTGAGGACGCAACCAACTGCATTTCCGCCCCCTCATTCTTGAAACAGGGTGTAGCATATTGG